ATTTCAGTTCTGATGAAAAGACCATGCTTAATTCATGAATTCCACATATCTACCTAGCTGAAATAAAGCAGTTTTAATAGTTCAATTGAAATTAACTAAATTAAATTTAATACGATAAATATAAAAATACAAAATCTTTAAATTTATAATGCCCACTTACTTTTTCCCTTTTTAAATCTTAAAATTATTTTTTCTTTTTCTTTATCTTCAACCAAGTAAAGCATCAAAGCATATCCTCTTATGTTATTTATGTCTACATATTTGTATATACATATATAGAAAAATCTAAAGAGACCAAGTATATTTGCATGATATATTTGGCCAGGTGTCTTGATATTTTTTTGACCCTTTTCTGATTGTACTACACTTATGTAAGAAGATTATATATATATATATATTTGTTATATTTATTTTTCATGAAGTGCACTTACATTATTATGATTTTTGTTTATTATTAAATATTATTATAAATTCTTATATATAAAATTTAAATTCAGTGACGATTGTTGTTAATTTTGTATTAAATATGAGATTTTTGATTTAATTTAAAATTGAAAAAACTTTTTAAAATAAATTTTTTTTGTGTTCAATTAGCCCAATTATTGGCATTAAAGACGTTTGCCTCATTTCCTTCATTTCCAATGTCTTGAATATTTTCCCATTAATTCAAAAAGAAGCTTAAAAATTAGTTGTGTATTTAAATATTATTTTAATTTCTATTGCAAAACTTCAAAGATCTCAAAAGATGTTAATTCTAAATTAATAATATTCTAGTTTTGCATCCGTACGAATTATAGTTGTTCGTTTCGGCAGGAAAAGTCCGTTCTTTGTAAAAATAAATAGCAGAACACTATAATTTCATCTAACTGAGAGAGTTGCTGTAAGTTTTAAAAGAAATTTGGATTGATCTTAAAAACTATTATAGTTAAGGTGTTGACATTTGATGACAACGAATTTAGGAATAGGGTCGTAGGGCTACTTTCATGCAATTTTTAGAACCATTTAATCGAGTGGATGTTTAGCAGATTTGAAACGATCAACTCAATCTAACAGGAATAGAGTTCTTTTCCTTTTTGAAATGTATAATATGTAGATTTAGTGACAAATCTACTGTTATTCTTTTACATTATGCAGCAAATATCAAATTCCAAAAATTGTGTATTGTATTCAATCCAATATTTTGTAAAAATAAATTATTCCTCTACAAAATTATGTTTATTTTTCTACGTCTCTCTGCCTTGTATGTAACACACATATATTTAATTGACCCAAGCATTTTTATTAAATGGTGACCTTTCCTTTTATTTGCAGATTATTTTTAATATAGAAAGATATCCCTAAACAGGACACGCAATAAAATTAACGCCACTGTGTCTTACACAAGTCTATCCCTTTTTAATGTCACATATTCAAAATAAAAGGTCTAAATTCTATGTTGTTATATAACACTATTATATAAAAAATTATGTATATGTACAAGAGTCATGCATAGGTATATTTTTTGTCATGAAAATTAGCATATTTTGTACGGCCTTTCATTAAAAAAATATCAACAAAAATCAGGAAGTTTAATATTCAGGATATTTAAGTTATTAAATTTTTACAAAGGGGTTCAAATATTGTAATAAACAATAGAACTATTGACGATCTTCATCATTTATTGGACGTGGTCAGTAGCATTTTTTTTCTTGTTTAAGCTTTATTCTTACTCAATTCATGAAATTTCTTGCTGGTTTTAATTTTTATATTTTGTAATGATTAGTTTTGCCGGCGGCGTTCGTTAATTTCTTTTTTCACAGGGTAGAAATCAAGGTAGAAATCAATTATAAGAAATTATAAATAATTTTTTGGTTGTTAACTACATAAACCTTTTATTTGACCTTATGAAGGGACACTCAATTTAAATATATATAAGTAGGCATTTTTGAAATTTTCCAAACATTAAAACGCCTTAAATTTTTTTTAACTAATTATATTTTTAGTGTGAATAATAAACGAGGAGTCCCATGTGATGATCACCTTAATTTACATAAATATTTTTAAGTGAATTTGTTGCGTTTTTTTTGTAAGGATTACTTTTTAATTCAAGACAAAAATTGTTGAATATTGGAAAACTAGTCAGTCAAGACAAATTTCTTTCAAGCACTATTCTTTGAGATAAGTGTTTTTTTTATACATACACATACGGTTGAATATTGTAGCTTGTATTTTATTTTTTAAGATTTTTCTGTGTGATAAACCCGAAAATCTTGCTTTCCCATGAATTCATAAATATTCTTAAAATAACAAAATATGTGATTCTTCTGATTAGTACAATTTTTAAACATAATTATAAAGAAACTCTCTGACCTACCAACAATTTTATCGATTTTTTCGGAATCCGGTAAATCATTTTCCTTATCTTATATAAGAATTAAATTGATTCCAGAAAGCTTCTAGTTCCGAGAGTGTTAAGATTTCTTATTTTATTTGTTTTATTTTTTATTTTATTCAAATTATGAAATATATAAAAAGTGTTTAGAAAATGAATCCTGTGAATATATCATCAACGTTTACATAACATTGCATACGTATACATATATGAACTGAAAAGGATTTATTGGTTTATATCAAAATTTCTTTTGAATTTGCAATTTCTCTATATTTTTCTTTAAATTTTAAAACTACACCCTTAAAAAATCGCCGATTAACACTTTATATTCAGATGATGTGTATTCAAACTAATATACCAAAGTAAGCAATATTCATTTCCGCACAATGAGTAAAGAAATGCGTTATTACAAAATTTTGATTGTGACAAACGAATGGACAATTATTGAAGCAAAATGATTGAATTTAAAAATATATTAGAAATATACTAGAACGTATATATGTATTTATATGTAGTATAAACAAATTTATGTGCGTACCAACATACGTTCTAATATTCCATGAATTTGATCACATTAATAACGTATGCGGATCACATATTTAACACATTTTCTTTTAGGATATCATATTTTAAAATAATGTTGTTTTTACTTGGTTCGATTATCCGCCATGTAGTAAAAATCGATTCGATTTAGAATTTAGTGTTTATTTTAACTTTTCCTTGTTTTTCTTTCGTTGCTGTCAAAATTCTATAACGCGTGTGTCTATTTTTTTTTATTAAATGAAAAAGTATGCATGTATGTACGGTATTATAAGAAAGTTTTTGGGGTAGAGGGGGTTAAAAGATTTTTTTTTTAAAATAACAAAGTAAATGAATACTTTACAAAATTTCCATATTTTACTACAAAAGCCATCCGTACGTATACGACGACTATATGCGTAACGTATGTATATACTTAAATAAATAAAAGCTGGGGGAATGGAAAAATATTGTTGAATATGAAAATGAAGCAAAAAAAAAACTGAAAATTGTAAGAATAAAAATAACAATGTGCCCAAAAGGTTGTGTATGTGTAAGTTTGAAATCTAAGAAAATTAGACGAAGGAAAGGGGAATTCAAGTCATGTTATACATATACAAAATTTTTAAATGACAAAATATTACTTTTATGTAAGCGTAGAACAGATGGGTCACATTTTACTTTTGTTTCTCTTTTTCTTTTATAGGTTATTCTTTATAATGTTAACGGTTGTGTACATTTTGCGATAATAATAGCATAAGAGTCTTTTTGTTTTGTCTTTCTCTTTCATTTTTCATTATTTTTGTTTTTCGCTCTCTAGTTTTTTACATTAATATTGGGAAAAAGTAACATAATCCACTTATTTTTTTTTATATTTAAATACATACGTATATACGTATGTAGCAATTGCACTAATTCCATGGTCGTTTAAATATGCGTCTTACATAAAACAGCAAAATGAGTATAAAGCGGCAGAAATATAACCATGAAATGGATAAAAAAAAAGTGTGGATTTTGTGCATAGAAAAAAAACTTTTCTTTTTTTTTAAGTAAATTAGAAAATTATTCATAATATTTTTTTTCTCTTTTTAATGGAAATATAATATTATTATTTGAATATAACCTAGGGTGGTTCATTTGTGATTGATTTGATAAATTATGACATACTCAGTTATGCTATAAAGGTAGATTCCAAACAAAGCGTTGAAGAACAACGGCGGACGATTTCTGTTATTAATCCAGCACAACAGCGGAACGGCAAAATCAATTGTACAGTATTTTTCATATAACGTCACACACATATAAAAACAGATAATTTCAAAAAAAAAAAACGCCAGCTTTAAAATACGAATTCAGTAATCATTTACCGCCGGCGGTGAAATTTACGACAATAATTTCGATTGATTCTACAGACAGTCTCATTTAAATACGTGAATTTCGCCGCGGATAATCGGTCTTGTTCTATATTTAGTAAGTATGTATATCTTTTTCGACTCAAATGCATTTTAAAAAATTTGAGTTAAAAATTTTAACATTTTTTTCAATTTAGTAACATGAGATGACAGTTAAATAATGACTATTTTTGTCCCTTATGAATTGTTTTGTCCGACGTATTTTAAGAAGATAAATGTGTTGCTGCTTTTTATTTTTGTTCATAACTTTGTTAATAATAATAATCTTAAAGACATTTCTTTGTGAGAATATTTTCGTGATTGAGAAGTTTTGGAAAAAGTTCTTAAAAAAATATATATACATAAGTAGACCACCCTTTTTTGTAAAACTTATTTATTGGTATTAATATTGAAAATCTCTTTAGCTCGTACATAATAAGAAAATGAATCCTTATGTAAAATATATTTGACGTTATTTAATATTATAAGCATTCTTAAATATTTCAGAAGTGTTTACTTAGTGCATTTTATTTTTCATAATTTTTACTATAATGCATAATTTTATAAATAATGTAAATGAAACACCAGTTAGTTACATAAAATTAAGAGTTTACAAAAGTTTTGAAATTTTTATCTATTATTTTTAATCAATTAAAATATACTTTTTCAATATTAAATTTAATAATTAATGTTATTAATTTTGCTCTTTTATATTACAGGGTCGTTGCAATCGTGATAAACCGCCATGCAAATATTTTCATCCCCCACAACATTTAAAGGATCAGTTACTAATAAATGGAAGAAACCATCTTGCCTTGAAAAATGCAATTATGCAACAAATGGGAATTGCCCCTGGGCAACAAGTTATACCTGGACAAGTTCCAACGGTTGTAAGTATAAACATATAGATATATAATTATATAAATGAAAAAATTTACAATGATTTTGGAATTTTAAGAATGTATTAGAGTATTTTTTAATATGGAAATTTTATATAAAATTATATGAATAGTTATCGTTTAAATGAAAATTTAAGTCTTCCTTTTCTTTAAGAAAGTCTTGTGTAATAAAGTATGAATATAGTACAGGTAAGGGGCACAAATAAAGGATGGTTTTTGAACTAGTTCGAATTGTAGACACAAGTAGTGATTTTTTCGAAAGTTTCTTTATTTTAGAATATTTTAAAAAGTGAAGATTCAAGAAAACTATCAACTTAATTTAGAAAATATTTTTACAATTACTTGCTTAAGTTCTTAATTAACATTAATTAATACTCGACAAAATTTTTTTTGAAAGCACTTCATGGAAAATAATTGTCTTTTACAATTTTATAAAGTAGCCACTTAAAATCTTATAAAGTAGTCTACCAAATTTAATAAAGCAACGAAAAAGCAGACCCACCAAATAAATAAATTTGAAAATTTAAAACTTTAAAAAATTTCACAATGTAAACAATTTTCATATATTCATATTAAAAATCAACAAATTTTCACTAATTTGATTGTTTCAACTATACTTTTATTTACATTGTTAAGTTAATGAAGGTAACACTTCTCCAATTTATGTATTACACTACATCGTAACATATATATTAAACTATATATACTAGTATATATATACATTAAAATTGACAAACATTTTCAAATTGAATTATCTATAATGAGTTAATTAAGAAGTAATTTTTTTAATTACTTTCTCTTATATGCATAGTGTTTATTTTATACATAAAATGAACGTAAATTACTGATAATTAATGATTACACATAATTAATTAATTGTAAAGTACATAATATAATGAACGAAAAAGCATAAAGGCATAAAATAATTTTGAGAATTATTTAAATTTTTCAAAGAAAATTTAAAATTTTGTAATTTCACATAACAATTATGTTTTTCAAATTAATTATCATTAAATTTTGCTTTCATTATTAATTTTGTAAACGAGAACGGTAATTAATATATATGTATATAATTTTATAATTGTAATTTCCAGGCAGTCATTCAAATTAAATTTTGAATTTATTTTAATAAATAGCCACACATATTTCAAAATTTATTATTTATTTGAAGTGATTACGTAGACTTTTTGAGTTTAATTTCATTTGTTTTAAATTAGATCATTTTCGCAAGAGCATTAGAATTTTCTACAAGATAGTTAAGAGAAAATGTAATAGGAATGCTGAGCAACTGCTCTTTTTATAAAATTTAAAGTTGCTTGCATTTTCTCTTTCTGCATAGCTTATATTTTTATTTATAAAATTTTTGTTATAATTTTTTTATATTTTTCGAGTCTCGATGAGAAATTTATTTAAAATATGAGAATCAAATCGTTATATTTAATTTTTGTATCATTAATAATTCAAATAAATGAAAATTATAACAAACGAAATAAAAAATAAATAGAATATTTAAATAATTACAATTTGATAAGGATATATGGGTATAGGTGTTTTTATATACGAGTACATATTGGCATGATATTACAAATACAATATTTTTAATTTCTTCAATAAAATTCATTTCTTTTTTCATATTACAAAGGCAACAAATCCCTATTTAACCGGTATACCAGCCAGCACATATAGTCCATATTTTGGACCTGGACATTTAGTGCCTACATTATTAGGACCAGATCCGTCAGTTGCATCACAATTAACCCCAGTTGTACCACAAGCAGTTCCTGTTGCGCAACAAAAAATACCTAGATCTGATAGATTAGAGGTAAGTTAAAAAACAAAAAACAACTCGAACTTTGTTATGTTTTGTTAAATTTTTTTTTTTTTGTAATTTCTTGGAAATGTTGGTGAACACAACATTCCTTTGAAAATCGACAACATTTTATAATATAGTTGTTATTTACTTCTGAAAATCATTTATTTTTCTTTTTTATTTAATTATAAAACGGAAAATAAATAAAATAGTTTTCTGTGTTTAATTTATTTTATTTTTTTTTTGTATTTATTTACCTATTTGTTAAATGATAATTTTCGTTTTTTTTTAATAATTCTTTATTTGTTTATTCTCTTTAAAATTTATATACATAAATATGATATAATTAAATTATATATAACTGATAATCTCATATATACCATAATTATGAAAAATATGTGAATTTTATAACATAACAAAAAAAAATGTTATTATTACTTTTATTTTTTGTTGATTGTTTAACATTTTTTTTTATGTTATACTTACAATACTTATATTATAACAATAATTTCTTTATTTATTCTTATAAAATATTTTATTTTGAATTGTATTAATTTTTTTTATATTATTTAAAAAAAATAAACTACTCTTAATTATTATGTTTTATATTTTTATATAAATATATATTTAAGTATTTATATATATTATATAACATATATATTTATATATCTAAGTCGTGTATGTTATTTTTTTTCTTTACATTATTAATATTATATTTTAAAATTATACAAAATAAAAATTAATAAACAAAATATTGCATTTAAACCGCAAAAATGATTTGGGAAGGACATTTTAAAAAATTTTTTTTTCTCAATCGGCTGGATCTAATATCTCTGGACTCATGTTACGAGATTTAAGAGATCAAAAAATACAATTGATTCGATTTATTTGATATTTTTTTTTTTTTTTGTAAATTCATAATAATTATTATTATGTAAAATGGAAATTATATTCAATTTAAAAAAAAAAAATTCTTTTTTTGAAAAACAAAATTGAAAAATTACATAGTGAAAAATTAGGTTTGAAATACAAAAAAAAAAAATGAAATGATCCTTCTTTTCTTTATACGCTACAATTTTCTTTTTTTTTCTACTAAACAATTTTGTAATATTTTTGCAGCTTTTTTTTTAGTTCACACTAATTTTAAATTAAAAACAAAGGAATTTCAATAAAATAATTTTGTTTTGCTCGTTTTACAATAATGAAAAAAAGTGCTTACAAAAAACTACAAAAAAAAAAAACTAAAAAACAAATACTGTGAATTCACATACAAATTGGTTTGCTTCGATTAAATTCTATAAATATTTTTTCGCATTTATTTATATTAAGTACAAAAAAGAAAAATAATAAAAAAAAATTATGCTCCAAAAATTAAAATTTAATTAAATTTATAATTATTAATATAAATTAAAAAAAATCAAAAAACTTTTATAATTCAAGAAAAAATTGAAATTTTATTTTTGTTTTGCAATGTTCCAGCTTTTCTAATTTATTATATAATTGTTTCTTAAAATACTCAAAAAAAAAAAACAAAAGCTTTCAATTAATTTACATTTAAGGTTTATTTATAGAATTGTTACTTTGCATTAAAAATAAAAACGCAACACTGTTAAAATGTATTAGACAAGCATTAAGTTTTGTATTCAAAAATATTAAAATAGTTTTTATTAACCAAAGAAATATTAAAAAATATTAATAAAATTCTTAAACAAAAAACAAAAAAAAAATAATAAAACAAAAAAAAAATCGTTTATAATTTGAAAATGATCTAAGTCAATCTACATACAATTTCGAATTTTTTTATTTTCTTAAATATACTTGGAATTGGAAATGATTGGGTTGTAGGCAAAAAATAAATATGCATAAAATATATTATTAATCAACTAGATTTTTGAATTATTTTAATCGTCGCAAAAAAATTGCAATATTTAATTTGCAATAATTTCAATTTGAACTTAGAACACTTTAAAAATAAACGATCCAAATTATTTTAAATATTTCATACATACATGTATATTATTATTAATAAACAATGTAATTCTTAAAAATGTTAACAATTTTTTTTTAACACGCGCTACTGTAATCTGTTCTAAAAAGTAAATCGTAATTCTCTATATTAAAATTAATGAGAATTATTAGAATAATTTTGTTAACATGAAACTAAAGCAATTATTTTGAATTTTCATTATTAATGTTAATATTCTTCGTTTTGTATTGGCATAAGATTTTACTATTACAAAAGTTTCGGTACCTCTATACCTAATGCAAATTTTAAATATACATCTGTCCTGTGCTATCCAGTATATCTACAATGTACAAATCTGATTACTCTCATTTAAAATTATTAAAGAACATAACATTTTTTCAAGTTCATGGTGAACACAATAAAAAATCTTTTGTGTTCAATTGCATATTTAATATATATACATGTATGTATATATAAATATAATATATAATATTTTGCATTTTATAAACTTTTAAATTAATTAAAATCTAAATGTACACCGGCTTCTTTTCAATTTTTATATATATGTGCTATATATCTACAATAATACAAGAAATAAAAACAAATTGAAAATGTTTGATAAAAGTAAATTTTTTTTTTAATATTTCAAGTATTTTTTCAAAGCTTATATACATACATAAATATAAATATTAATAACTTTAATTATATACGAGAAATTAGAACTAATTCGTTTAAGCTACTAATCGAAAGAATCTTTTAAACGTAATATCAAATGGCATATTAAATATATTTAATTATTTAGTATTCGTATACTTTAATAAGTTACGTTGGATCTAAAATTCTTCAAAATAAATACAATCAAAATTATGAACTTAATTGAATTGCCATTAACTGATCGACTATTGCCATTAACTAATAATTATTTCTTTATTAAGAAATTAATATAAGATAGAACAATATTAATTAATGTAAGACACCATAACACATACAACTATATTAATTAATGTCATAAATAAGGCAGTCTTACAATAAGAATAAGAAATTTCTTTTTAAGTCTTTTAATTTGTATATATTAATTATGACATTTAGATGTCATTATAGTAAATTGACAATCAATATTGCATATTCACAATAGAAAATTTTTTCTCTAAATTAATTATGCATATATACACTTAAAGTGATTATATACTATATTATATTTATTAAAATCTGCAATAAATTCTTAAAGTTTAATTATTTCAATATTTAAAAATGATATAAAAAATAATTTGAATTGTCAAGAAAAATTCCAATAATTAAAATGATATTTTGAACATGAATGAAAAATATAATAGAAAATCGATTATAGTAATCGATTATAGTAAAATTTTTATATATTTGTTGCCAAATATGTCATCAATTAAAACATCCTTTCATACATAAAAAATCATTTTAAAATCTTTAATTTCTTAACTCAATTATGAAAAAATTTATAGTATTTGAATAAAACTTAATGACAAAATATTTTTTTGTCAATATATTTTATAAATTTCAGACATACAAACATTATATTGTATTTCTTAAAAAGTTCAACTAAAATCAAGAAAAATGGCATTTAGAAAAAATTAAAAAATTTATTTATATATATGTATGTATGTATAAATATATAGCAAAATAAATATTATTTTAATTGTTTTTTATGTTTATTGTTATAACTACGAGTAAAATTAGATTTTTTTTTTTGTATATAAAAATCAATATAATGTTATTGAAAGTATTTGAGAATATTTAATTCTTTTTTTCATATTAATGACACAAGATTTTTAAAAAATAATTTGGGTTGTTAGAGTTGCGGTATACGCAAATTTTCATTACGACAAAGAATTGTATTTGCGTAGCGTTATCTTATAATTTATATCATATTTATATATTACATGAAAATTAATAAATTATAAAATTAAAATAATATATTATATTTAATTCGATTCTACAATAAATTTTGGTAGTGTAGCATCAGAAATTTGACACATTGTAATCAAAAAATTGCACGTAGATGCTCTCTAATATTCTCTTACTCTCGAAATTAAAATATTAATTGTCAAAGTATGACACATTTTGTAAAATTAGAAAAATATTTTTTATTGATTTCTTTAATAAGTTTAATATTATTATATTATACAATTAAAGATATTTGAAATAATTGTAGAAATTATTTCTTATAAGCAAACACGATTTTATCTTAAAAACTATAAAATAATAGTTCGGAAATAACAAGTTTTATTCAATAATTACCTGAAAGATTCTATATTTCCTTGGTGGTTCACCGAATGTTATTTAAGAAATTTAATTTGTAAATTATATATAAGTGATTTATTTTTAATCAGTATGTCATACCGAAATTTATACAAAAAATTTATATTGAACAACCCTCAAATTGCAATTAATTTATTTATTACATAATCATCTTTAAAAATAGAAATATTTAATCATAAGCGTTTGTTTATAATCGAAAATTCGACCCAAATTAATTTTCAAATCTATTTTGATTTTTATAAACAAAAAATTCAATAAACACTAAAAAAAGATTTTATTTTTTTATTATTAACGCTTTGTGTTTTTAATTTTTTTTTTGTATTTAAAAGAATTTTTAATGTAAATATACACACAATTTCTATTTTAATCTATTTTAAATAATTTTTAAAAAATTGTTTCTTTTATATATTTTTCATTTATAAAAGCAACAAGAAAACAAAAAAAAAAATAATCACAATTAATATTTTTTATTAAATTATTAAATAAATAAATTTTTAAAAAATAATTATTAATTATTGCTTTTAGTTTTATATCTTAATTTTTATATTTTATTTTTTATGTTTTTATTATAATTTACAAATTTAATCAAAAAAATGTATTTTATTTATTAATAAATTAAGTGCATTATTCTATATATATAAATTGAAAATTTATTATATACATATTATATTATGTAAAATAATATTTGACTAAAAAAAAAAATAGACCAAATTAGAAATTATTTGAAAAACAAAATGAAAAAAATGAGATGTAT